AACCAAGGCTGGGACCGGGATTAACCAAATGAACCGTGAGGAAGTCTCCACGGGAACTTACAGATTAGATTCTAGACATGTCTCACGAGAAATCAAGTAATTCGAGTGAACTATACATTTGGCTGTTGCAAGTGCACAGACAGGTCAGACTCCTGTTCGATTCTATCACCACCAGAGACTTCGCAATCCTCGAGATACTATACCAGCATAGACCCCAAAACAGCTTAGTCGGTAAGAATGTTGTGGTGGTGGGCCACAGCCCCACGCCCTGCCTCGGAAAGAAGCGTAAGTAAAGAGCACGACAGCAGCAGGACAACAGAAAGAAGGGGGACACAGGGTTGGCCAGCGCGGCCAGAGGACAACTGCAGGACAAGGAGGACAAGAAAAGGACAAGAGGAGGACATAGGGTTGGCCGGCGTAGCCAGAGGACAACAGAAGGACAAGCGAAAGACAGAAGAAGGACAAGAGGAGGACACAGGGTTGGCCAGCACGGCCAGAGGACAACAGCAGGACAAGTGGACCCACTACATCTTACATCTAAGCCAGCCTCCAGAATCCCTTGGCGGCTTGGCGGAATTAGTCCTGTTCCTGGAGCCACTCTAGCATATGTGTTGCATTGTTTGTCTTGAAGGTATCACCATAGACAAATGCATGTCGGAACCCCCTTCCCAAACAGCCCTTGAGGGCTTAGAAGTTGACGTCCTGGCATCTCGCTGGCGTGGTCTCACGTTTCACCAAGCTGCCTGAGGAATGGCACGGGTTCTGCCCGGGCCCCAGCCCCATCAAACAGCAAAACGGCCTTCGTTTCTTTGATGCTTGCATGCTGGGATGTTCCAAAAGGGGGAGTATACATTGCACAGTGCACAGAACATTTGACCAGTTCAAACCAAATCTAGGCCAGGGTCATGTTCTCCCCCACGGTGACCGAATTGTTTAGTCTATTTTATCCTGCCATGTTTCTCAATGGTGGTTGTTGATCATTCTTATTGATTCCGCTCCAAATCGTTCTTCAAGGTTATTGGACTTGGATCCTCCAGATATCATTGAGTTGATCCGATGCGATTGCTGAAAGAAGCCTTTGTCACTTAGTCGTATCAAGGGACCTCCATGTTTACACGACCAGGAATCCGGTCAGCCACAGAAAACCACAAGGTACTTCGCAATGTGTTGTTCAGGGTTCCAAGATGTTCCAAGTACCTTCTGAGAAGGGTTTTGGGATAGATTGTGATATTGTATTCATTCTACCGCCTAGCTCGTCCCAGCAACTTGTATTTGTTCCAATTGTTTTGCTCCAGTGATTCTAGTGGTTTGTGCGTAAGGGTTTGTAAATATAGACAAGCGACAACCTAGCAACTGGGACCAGTGTGAAACACCAAACTTAGTGTATGGTTCTGGTCCAGGAAGTTTCCGGGGGTTCCCATGTTTTGTCCACCAATTGGCTGGACCCAAACCAGCGGAGGAAAGTGACATCAAGTAATCCTGCAGACGACCAGGTGCACACTCAGCTCGCAATTGTTTGCTAGAGGATACCATTTCTCCCTTCGGTCCCAATATCCCTTGTACCCTCGAAAGTGAATGGTAAATGTATAACCAATAATATGGCCCGCAAACACCTGCAAACTGTGCAATGCCGCATGCCCATATATATATACCATGAGGGCCGACTTGTTGTTGTGGCATGTTTTGGCCTTTTTGCATCGCACTAAAATGCGAAGGCCCGACCGGCCCGCCCAGAAGGCACGTGGATGGCGACGGCTTTGCGGTTGGTTAAACACCAAAAACTGAATCACAAATGCTAGGAATGTTGGTTGAAGATCATCCGGTGGAACCAATCTTTGGATGCATTTTTGAACCGTAGCACTTGTAGTAACAGATAGCAATGCTGTAGGTATAGAAAATGGCCACATCATCATCATCGTCGTCGTCATCATCATTGTCATCATCATCGTTTTCATCATCATCATCATCATCATCATCATCATCATCATCATCATCGTAGTGTATATCGGCCAAGACGAGGATGTGGATGGATCAACACCGGAACGCTCCACGAGGATATGCGTGTGGTCAAGAAGCCCACCACAGGGAAAACAATAGACAATGGAAGCCTTGACAAGGTTTTTGTGAGTGATGACTCTACCAAGTACAAGATGTGTTGCCCACCAGGCCTTCTCAATGCAGCATGCAGAGGTGATGGTATCAAACAGCGCACAAACCAACTGACACTGATGGTGTTTCTCTTGGGAACCCTTAATTAAGATGTAGAAGGGCAACCCAAGATGAGCCGAATTAGGCCAAGCGTTCCGCACCCGTGCCTGAATGGCCGATCTCAGAGCCTCTTGGGCCACGGGTGACCCGCCTCCGATCCGCCCAGATGGCTACAGCTCGCGAGTTCAAGCGCTGAGGGAGGCTGGAGTCAGGTCTTTGTCAGGGTTGAGTGGGGAGCTGTGAGCACTTTTTGAAGTCATTTGTTGAATTAGGCCACGCAATTGATCCTGGTTCAGGGGCAATTCCTGATCTTTGTCTTTCAGCTTCGCTCAGTCGTTCATTGACCAGAGAGGATTTGTTTTTCAGATGTTCAAGTTTTTTCCAGAAGCAAGATGATGTGCACCTTCACCCGGGAGACGTGTTGGATGACATTCAAAAGGGTGCCTAGAGTCCTGGAGGATATAACCCAAGATGATCAGGTTCAGAGGTTTTTGGATGTATGGTTTTTGATGCTACAGAACTTACCAATCATGTTCCATTGTGCCCGTAGTAGGCGGAGTGGTGAAGGGACAGCGACCAACCGGTAACCTCCACAATAATTGATGAGGCCGTTGCATGCGCCAACATTCTTCGAGACCGTGCATGTCGACCATTCTAAACCCGAATTCGCGCTCCCCGCAGACATGACGCAAACCCTGTTTCCAAGCGGGACGGACTGGTAGACTGGCCGGTCTCATGAGGCGGCCGAGCGGATTGCCGGGGCCAACCACGTGAGGAGGTCCAGCGGCTGAGATGTAGAGTCCAAGGTCCGAGCAGCAAAGCTTGGTGTTTGGGACATGTTTTGCTGGGGGAGAGTGGAGGGACGTTGTGAAGGCCGTGTTTTACAGGGTTGTTTGTTTGCTCAGACTTGCTCATGATTGTTTTGCACTTGTACGTATAAACATATCAGTGTTTGTCGTTGTCGAACAAAATAGTATGAAGTATGATTGACATATACATTATATTATACAGATGCATATGCAGATTATGCAGTCATATATGCATCTCAGGTGTGTTCCTTCATACCTTGATATAAAGGTTGCTCTTTTCTTTGCACATGTGTTCTGTTAAACCAAACATATACAATTCTTGAATAGCCACTGGTTCACTCTTTTGACAACTGGTCTAGGGTTAGGAGATATTCAATGTTTGGTGTTTGTCTTCCAAATGTCCCATCAGAGTGCGGGACAGAAATAAGGGAGGTTGAAGGTCCAGTGAAGGTACTACTAAACTACTGTGGGACTGCTTTGCTGAAAACAAACACTGCTATTTTCAATCAACAGGTTTGCAGGACTTTGGCCAGCAATTTTTTTGGGCATAGATTCCGTACTTCAAGTAATTCCATCAAGAGTTGTTATAATTTAGTTGCGTGTGAGACCTGGGGCGCTTTCTTCAGCAGGCATTCTGAGAGCACTCCGAGACGCCTTGTCATTCGGACGTTTGACAGTCATGGTGGGTGAGTTGCCCTTGTCATTGTTCGTTGTGGGGTTGAGCAAACTAGAAAACGACTCGGAGTTTCAATGCGGTCGAAGGCAACATGTCTCACACTTGATCGGCAAGTAGAGTATGGTCGCATGGGTTGTTGTTTTGGTTTTGCTGACCCAGATGAAGATGGTGGTCGCGTGTGAGAAAAAAACATTGCATGGAAGTTTCACTCACCCATGTGGCACCCAAATCACGTTGACATCATTTTTGCCATGTGATTGCGTCTTGGGGAGCTAACAGACCCAACAAAGAGCCAAATGTGCTGCCAATGATGCAAAAGGCCGTGCAGAAGTGGTGATGCTCTTCGTGTCAGGGTCCACCAAAACCATCCAAGACCAGGAACGCCACCGTGGCAGACTCCCTTTCGATCGGATGCAGAAGCCAGTCCGTTGAACTCAAACCACTCGAGCGACTCGAAAGTCGAGGTTTTCTCCGGATTTCCCGCACAATTCCGTCAAATGCACCCCAAATCTCAATGACTCAATGACGCCCTCAGTTTGCCCAGTCCAAGCGGCTACTACCATCATGGCCTTTCAGTCCATGACAGAAAAGGGGCCCATGGCTCCATGAAGTGTTGATCAGGAAGCACGTTACAGTGGTTTCAGAGTAGATGGCACAGACCTCAAGCTGTCCATTGACATAGGGGTTCATCACCAAACTTAGGGATTGTGCCATCTACTCTGGGCAAAACAAAGGCTGATTTCGATGTTGGAAACTTCCCACTGAGGAGTTTGCCTGGCAAGATGGACAAATTACGTATAATGGCAGTGGAGTTGGCAGTGGAGTAATTCGAATGATTCAGCGTTCAGATGTTCTACAACTCAATACCATCCACATTCCCATCCCCTTTCTCAGGGAAGGCCTATCCCATTTGTCTATACGCCCGATTCGTTGGATTTGCAAGCTGTCGATGCGCTGGATCAAGCCTTTATATTTTACACTGTAATTTCATATTCCCTGATGATTCGTTTCGTGGCCAACATTGGAAAACTTCCGAGTTCGGCCGGTCGATCACGTCAGATGACTTGCCAAGACAAGGGTCCACGCTTGGAACAAGGATTTGAGATTGTCCAGGAGCCAGCGGGAAAGGAGCAATACCCATGACACGGCCATGTCAATGCGATTGATTCGATTTCAATGTGTACCAGTACCACGAGCAGACCACATAGAGTATATATACTTACTCAAAACATCTTATTGTTGAAAGATTGGAGCAGAAACACGTTCTCAAGCCATTGACACACCAAAGAATCACAGGTCACCAGACGCAACACCCTCGCTTCCCACCCGGCGCCGGCTGCGAACAGCCAGCGATGAACACTGGGGATGACGCGTTGGCTTCGGAGAATTGGCGCCTGGCTGCCAAGTGGGATGCCCCAGAAAGTCGAATGGGCCACGGCCACGGCGGTTGAATTGTGATGAAAGGTATTGAAAGGTCAATTTGCATCAATTTGCCATGATTGGCTATCATCGTGTTGATCCTCCTCGTGTCCACCTCATCTTGCTCCTGTACCTTTGGCGCACTTCTGCTGTAGATGAGGCTCTACACCAAAGAGCTGGCTGCAGCCAAGGAGAACTTGTCGACAGGCGAGTGGAAACAGCCCTCGACCGGACCGGTGTGTTGCGTTTGTTGCCTCACCATGACACATCATTTGGCGTGACGGCGGGGATGGTGGAGACTTGTACCACTTGCATCCACAGTCGGTAGCCGCATCAGTAGCCATGCATTTCGAAGCCAAACTTCCAGTAGAGCTTGCAGGATCTTGCAGGATGCTTCTGTGATGTCAACATTTTCCAATGTGGTGCAGAGCAGCTGACTGACCCGACCTGCCCTAACCATACGCAAGATGTTTGGGGCGTTTTGGAAGGCACCCACGGCCAAGACGACTGCCCGGCGGGTCGGAGGAAGCTGGTCCGCCGGTTTGTGTGGATGCTGACAGGCTCGAATTTGGTGTTGACCGTGTTGACACGAAGGGATGTCACGCTCCTTTCTTTGACGCCATAGCTAACACCCCTGAAGTAGCATGTTTGCATATGATTGCAGCAGCCAAGAGACCATAAAAGAATACAAAAGATATAGTATAGTAAAAATAAACATGTATTATATATATATATAAATTTCTATAAGTTTCTATATATAATCGGATATATGACAACACAAAAGGAACTATGTCTAACACACATTCAGTGTGCAAAGGTGGTCATTGCATTCCATTGGCATTCCCAAAGTTCACAGCTTCAGCAGATCTCAGCCCATGTCGGACTCCTTACGGTCTCGGAATGGGTGATGCTATGGAGCCCATCCAGCTGAGCATTTTGAAGTTCGCTGGGGATCCCATAGAGACCAGTGCCAACCCGGAGGAGATCTGCGCAGACCCGGGGAGCGGAGAGCGAGAGCAACCGCAACTGCCGACACAGACAACAAGATCTGTAAACTTGAGCAGCCGCGATGTTGCCAACCATTTCCGAGCTGGCTGCAGCTTTCGCTGGTTGTTCTCGGCAATTTGTAGTCCAAGGAGGGCTGTAGTGTCGGAAATCGTGCTTTTCAAAGCAGAGGAGCAGTTGTGCGTAACTCCCATCCAAAGAGGGTACGCACAGGAGATCGTCATAGATCGTCCAGTTTCATCATAGATCGTCTACACTACCCGGGTTTTGCTGATCAGGTGATTTTGGGTAGGAAAAATCCCCAAACCTGGTGAACATGTTTAGGTTTTTTCGAGGTTCGGAGCCGCACATCCAAGCGCACCACTCTTCACATCACTGCACCATCCAGCAGGTCGGAGGGTCAGCTGAGTTGTTTGCTTTGCGAATCAAGCGGTGGCTTTACATTATGTCATGACATGTCTTGACTGGCAAGTTGTTTGGTACCTACATCCAGTCTGGAGAGTCTTCATCCGATACTACTTCCATGATTGAGCTATTGTTGCCATAAGGGGAAGCAGAGGAACGTGAATGAACAGGTTCAATGGGCAGGGGTCCCTTACTTCAGATATTTTCAGATACTTCAGTGTTGCGGTTCGAAAAAGAGAGCTGGGTCGACTTGGCAAGGTGATGGCCGAAGAATCCTGATTCTAGGTAGCACTCCAACTGCCTCCTCTAGGTGGCTTTGGAGGGTCAGTCCGTACCTTCTGACAAAGAAGCCTGGAAGTTCATGAGGCCACGACCGAGACCAGGACACCGTGGTGTCAGTCAAGGAGCAGATTGCGGAACTGGTTCAAGTACCGGTGCTTTGCCAGAAGCACCTCGGCAAACCGTTCGGGGCATGCCATGGACGCGGCTTGCGCAGCTATGAGTAGCATTTCTTATAAAGCCCTGGAGCTCTAAATTCTATATAATCAAGCCGTTATAGAGCCGATAAGTTCCATAAGTACCCCTAAGATTTCCTCAGCGGCTCTCTTCCCATGAGGAGTGGATCAATGTGGATAATGTTGGATTTTTCACCGAACATCACGTTGCCTCTCCAAAGTCTTAAAGGCAACAGGCATCCTGAGGTAGGAAGCCATTCCCATAAACTCACAACACGTGTTGGGCTCCTTTACACCCCTCATGGCATACCGAGAAATCATGTTGATTTGTATACGCATATGGGAAGACATGGGAAGACTATCACTTCGAGATGATTTGATTCATGTATCGGAGGGTTGAATTTTCATTCACCCTAAGTCGCCATAAAAATAAACCAGCAGAGAACGACAGGGATGCTTCAACATTTCAGGAATATCAATCACGAGGTGTATTCTGATCTTCCAAACCTCATGGAAGTGATGAAGTCAATAAAACTGTTGAGCAGATTATCGCTGCATTTGGGGTCCCACCCAAGCAACCCGAGCAACCGACCAAACAGCTTCATCCAGGTTCATAGAACCCCAGGTGGAAGCAGCACCGCACCGCTGTGTTTGCACTGCACACCGTTGCAGGCTGTGGCTCCATGAGGCTTCCGGGGAGCAAGTGGGGCGCACCCAGCCACTGCGGAAGAAACGCATGGACGACCTAGAGGAGGTCGGGCAGACACGACCCCGGCAAAACCGGTGTGTTTGGACGACGCTCCGTGGGCGGGTCCGCGGGTCCGGACGTGGTGGCCGGACGCGAGAAGAAAGCGAGAGAAGGAATATGCCAGGCATTGACTCATTGATGTGAGGAGATATGTGTGCACATGGGGAAGCAATTGACTTCACATGAATGGCTGGAAGGATTGTTCACAGATTTGGGGTGACTCTTGTTTCAGATTTCACTGAGGCCGCCGCCCGTTAGAGAAGTGTTTGACTTGTGATTTAAGGGAGGACAATTGGCATTGCACCCCTGCGGACGAGCGCAGGGCACGGGGGCTGTGCGCTGGATTCGGCACACCGTGGCAGTTCAACCGTAAAACAGGTCTCCGCCTCCGCGGGGTGTTCGCAGGGTTTCGGAGGGGCAAAGGATGAACCTAGAACTCGATATTATCCAGATATATCATATATCCACACAATACTTACTTTATAGATCTTCATAGTATAAATAAACAAATATATATATATATATATATATACATATGCTGTATAATATACTATGGTTTAGTTTGGTAAACATTCTGAAAAACACTACTGGGAGCTGCCTTGGCACTGGGTCACATTTTTCCAGGGAGTTGTATAATAAACAAAATCCTTTGATGGGGCTACTTGACAGGGTCTTTTGGAACGGCCTCGCGTGGAACGTTCTTTGCTTGACCTGGTGAGGAGTTCCAGTATGGTTGGCAGATCCAGGAGGTGCGAAGTTTCCACTGCCCGCCACTTGGGTTGCACAGCCATATCACCATAGGGGTGGCGTACAGAGGGTCCAATGGATATCAGCCACTGGACCTGGGTCTCGGATCCGACACACCTCGGACAGCCCAAGGCCGCAGGGCGTGGTGGAATGCGTGCACCTCTCGTTGATCCAGGGCCGCACATGAGCCGATTGAAGACAACCAGGTGTTGATTGACCACCGGATGTTCTTGGAAGTGGGAACCCTCCTCCTGAAGGCAGATGTTGGTTGTTTGGAAGGGGAGTTCGGAACGATGTCTATCCGGACCCCCCGGTTACCTGTGAGTCATATCATTTATATATATATTTTTATGACATATTATGGTAAACCCTGGGAGGCGGTACTTGGAAGTGTTTCAATGCAATTGAAAGAATCAAGTTCAATACATGTTGGAGCGCTGCGATGGTTTTTGCTGTAAAGGTTCTTTGTTTGTTTTTGCAAGTGTACTGCCAAAGGTTGAAGCTAAGAGACGGCGGGGCAAGATTCCTGTGACCACTTCACCGGAAGTTTGACAAGCAAACACAACTATATATACATGCAATTACATGCAACAATCTATCTATGCCGACTGTTTGGGGCGCGCCTGCCAGCCCAAGACCTCTCAGGCTTTGTTTGTTGTATTATTTTGTTTTGTGTGTTGCTTCTTTGCCACACGTTTACATAATCGGAGTTTTACGAGTAGAGTAATTGCGAAGGAGAATGGTATTGTATGATCTGATAGAGGAGGCCTCTGAACAAGGCAGGATGTTTGTGGCAAGTGTCCTTAAATGCGAAGGATATTCAATTGATATAGCACCTATAATGTCCTATCATTATGTTATATTAGAATATTGTTGTGCATGATGCATACAGCATTGCAACTGATCATTTGACATATTTATAGTGCGTGAATCTATCTTGACAAAGCAACCTTGTCTTAGCATCAAATGTCATTGATGATGGGAATTTGGAAGAATCTCTCTCCTGCATAAGGATATGTTTCTTGAACAGATTTGTAATCTGTTTCAACTGAAGTTCCATTTTTGGTTTGATCTGCCACAGCCTGCCGGACGTTCCTTTTGTTTCAGCATTTCAACCCCTCCCCCTCCAAAAAAGAGATCGCAGCGCACAAGATCGCAGCCATGCCTCCCAGGATTTTGCTGTGCGCCAGCTCCACCTTTGAGATCTCTGACAGTCAACTGAATGTCAGAGGTCATCGCCTAGAGCAATGGGACGTTTGCTGCTTGGAGCAGTCGAAGCGACGTGAATCGCGCGCGACCGAGCTGTGGGATTCTGGCCGAAATCAACATACGGTGTTTTTTTGTTCAGAGGAGATTGGCTTTGCATGTGTTCTTTTTAATTTTTTTGGGCGGGGGTCATTGACTTTACATGTGTATACTGTAAATATATGACGATATATGATGATATACCCAGATGAATCAAGGAACTTGGTGGAGCTTGGCGGGAGGAAATCCAGAATTCGCTGCGTAGCATGATTTGGATCACGACAACCAACATTTTGCAGATTTCCCAGCTAGGAAGACAGGGTTGTGGAAGACGTAGACAGAGCTGCACTCTATACTATTGTGCTGCCTCAGACAAAGCATGGACACAGAGTGCAAAGTGCATTTGCATGATAGAAGCATGCAGCATGAGTAGTGTAGTGGTGAAGATCAAGATCGAATAAGGGTACATTATGTATTGTTTGGATTTTCCTGACAGCAGACAACAGCGCACACATGAGTTAAGCCAGCATAGTTACTGTATGTTACTGTAAGCGCTAGTTTCATGTCATTCCAGCCAGTTGTTTGTACTCGTACCTCTAGTA